ACCACCAGCACCCCCCATCACGGCCATCGGCTCGCCCACCACCAGCAACCCCCATCATGGCCATCGGCTCGCCCACCACCAGCAGCCCCCATCACGGCCATTGGCTCGCCCACCACCAGCACCCCCATCATGGCCATTGGCTCGCCCACCACCAGCACCCCCCATCATGACCATCTGCTTGGTCCAATAGGGAGGAACAGCGCCAGCATTTAGAGAGGAGCCCAAGTTAGGGCTCAGCTCCTTGGTCCACAGAACAGAGAGTGGGCTGCCCCAGGTCAGGGGAAGCCAGGCAAGGGGACTGTCCACCCCTCCTCCATCCTTCATTTGTCTCCCAGACTCCCCAGGCACCGTGTATGTATCCAAGGTGAAGAGTAAGGGCCACCCGGCTGTGTACAGGTTCTCCCTCAACGCCAGCCTACCCGCCCCTTGGCAGATCGTGTCCCCCGGGGACGGGGAGGTACCTTCCTTCCAGGTGAGCCTGGGCGGCCGTGACCTGAACCGCCAGTACCAGGGAGGGGGAGGCAGGGTCTGTGAGGGAGACGGGGACCCTCTCCCAGCCAGGTCTGTGGAACCTACAGAGTGGTGACAGTATGCGCTTCCAAGTCAGCCAGACCTGGGTTCGAGTCCTGGCTCTGCCATTTATAATCTGTGTGTCTTTGGGCAGATTGCTTAATCCCTCTGAGCCTCAGTCTCCTCATCTGTGAAATGGGGTGTGTGAAGTCCAGCCAGGGTTGGAGACACGTGAGGTAATGGTATATAGCATGTAGGACACAGGAAGTGCTCGGTAGGCAGTGGTTACGTGATTGTTCTCAGCAGCTGCTCCAGCTTCTCAGGGCCACCCCAGGCCTCCAGGGTCTCCCTCTCAGGAATCATCTGTGTTTTTTTGATAAGTTACACCCTGTGTCAACTCATTTGTTCAGGGTTTATATTTCCATCTGAATGGTGAGGTGTCTGAGGCATTTCCTGACTCTGAGCCTTTGCCATGCCGTTCCCACTACCTAGAAAGCTTTCCTTCCAGTGGAACGCACGGCAGGCCCCTCACTGATATCTCAGCATGAATGTCGTCCCCTCAGAGAGCCCTGCGCTGGCCCACTTCTCGTCTGCCCTCCTCCTCCCTGACCATTTATCCCATGTCTTATCATCCTGTTACATTCATAGACCCTGAAAGACCCTAAAGCCATCGTGACTGGCAGCTCCATGGGGGCAGGGACCAAGCCCATCTTGCTCGCTGCCGTACGCTCAGAGCCCAGCTCAGGTCCTGGGTAGAGTAGATGCCCCGCTGGAGGAAGGACTGAGGTTCAGCCAGGGAGGGAAGGATTTGCTCCATCTTCAGATTCGAACCCAGGCCTCCTGAGCTTCTGCCCAGGGCTCTGCCCCACCCCCCACGGCAGGGGGGCTTGGACAGGGTGGGGGACCTGCCTTGGTGGGAGGGGCCGGAGCCTGAGGCCGGGCCCAGGCCGAGGCAGCCCCCCGGAGTCACCTGTCTTGTCTCTGTCGATCCACTGCTTAGGTGTATAGAGCGCCTTTGGGTAACTTCACCAAGAAGCTGACCGCTTGTATGTCTACAGTAGGGCTGCTCCAGCCGGCGAGCCCCTCCCGCAAGTGGATGGTGACAACCTTGGCCTGTGACGCCAAGCGGGGCTGGAAGTTTGACTTCAGCTTCTACGCGGCCGCCAACGAGCTGCAGCACACGCGGTAACGGCCTCGCAGATAAGCCCTTTTCCCCCAGCCGGACCCCTCTCCCCCGAGAGATGTCAGCAGGCACCTTTAGGAAGCCCCTGTCCACATGCACACGTGTGTTCGGAGAGTTCTTGGCCCAGGACTGGGGAGTGGGGGATGCCGGCACAGAGGACTGGCCGGTGACCGGCTCCCTCCCTGCCCCCCTGCCTTGCGCTGGCGCCACTGCCCCTCCCCCGCATGCCCAGCAGGTGCCATCTGGGGCCTTTTGCACTTGCTCCTCCCTCTGCCTAGAATGCTCTTCCGTAGCGCCTCCGGTGTGATGGCTTCTCTCCGGGATTCAGGTGTCCACTCCGATGTCCCCTCTTGGGAGAAGCTGTCCCTGAGCAGAACTCCCTCCCCGTCCCGAAGAACCATGCCCGGTCCTTCTCCATGTGCTACCCTTGCTCCCTTTCCGGCCCCCATGGCCACCTGGAATCACTCTGACCTGTGGTTTATAACCTGTCATTCCTTGGGAACATCGTGCAGTGGGCACATTGACCGTGTCCCCCGCTGTGTCCCTAGCACCTAGCACAGGGCCTGGCGCCCAGGGGGTGCTCAGTGAACACTTGCCAAATGAGTGGATGTGTATGCTCTGTACCTCCTCTCCAAGGCACTATTCACTCTTTCTATGTAATTAATTCTGCAAATATTTTAATGCCATCCCCTCCCCTGCCCCGCCAGACCGTAAGGAGACAGGACAGAGACTGTGTTTGTTGTACTTACGTGCTGTATACTCAGACCCTGCCTAGTGCCTGGCATGTAATTAGTGCCCCAAAACCCTTAACAGGTGACAGCATTCTGTTCCCCAGGGGGCGGGGGCCTCTGAGCAGCTGGGGACACCTGTGTTCTGACCAGGGCCCCACATTCGTGTATCCATTGAGGCTGTATTTCGTTGTTCATTGAACAAACACGGGGCGCCGACTGTGTGCCGGCACCCCGCTGGTGCTGGAGATACGGTGGTAAATAAGACAGATGTGGCTCCTGCCCTTAGGCTGGCTAGCGGGAGACAGCAGCTAACAAGTGAACCGCAGTGTCATTACAAGTGATGGCACATGCTCTGCTCTGGAAGGGGGTGCGGTGCTGGGCCTAGAGAGTGACAGTGCAGGCCCTACGCTGGTGACGTGAGGGGCTCTGACTCTGACAGAGCCTGACCTCGGGGTGCTGAGCCCCCATAGAGGCTGGACGTCACTTGGGGCAGAGGGCAGTGGTGTGGAGGTGGGGGCAGGTGACCAAGATGGGCTCACTGGGCTCTTCCAGCCCAGGGTACCTTGGCTCAGGGGGTGGGGGTCCCTCTGCCCATCCTCCCCTGAGCCCAGGGCTGGGCTCACTCTGCACATACACAATAGCAAGCAGGATCAGGCTGCCTGGATGAGCTTAGAACATTCTAGAAAGAACCTTGAGCTATGTCAGGTCCAGTGGTGAACAAGCTAACCATGGAACCCTTGCTTCACACAGAATCTTGAGGCTCAGTAACTATTCAGCTTAAGGCGGGGGTGCTTCTGAGTAGGGAATCTCAAGGCTGGCCTGGGGCCCCTCTGTGAACTCTTGCACCCCCTGGAGGGCAGTTTGGAAACTCCTGGTCTCCCTCCCTCATGCCCCAGGTGGGGAGACACACACAGAACAGGAGGCTGTTGAGCAGGCCACGTGGTGCGTCCTGGCAGTGGGGAGACCAGAAGTGACCTCCACACCCCAGCCCCCAAACTGAGACTAAATCCTTGTGCTGGGGGGGGGGGGGGCGAGTCCGTCCCCGCCCTCCTCCAGTCCTGGTACCCAGCCACCTGTGGCTATGCTTGCCTCACTTCCCAGACTCCTCCTGGTCTTCCCAGCCTCAGCCAGGCTCCTTTGCCTCCACAGGAAAGTGTACTTTGCTCAGTCCCACAAGCCCCCTTTCCACGGGCGAGTGTGTGCAGCCCCTCCTGGCTGCCTTCTCAGCTCCAGCCCCGACGGCCCGACCAAAGGCTTCTTCTATGTGCCCAGTGAGAAAGGTACATGCGGGGAGGCTGCAGTGGGGCCTCGGGAGGCTGGGCCCCGCCTTCCCATACAGATGTGACTCCCTCTGCAGTGCCCAAGGCCCGCCTCTCGGCCACCTTCGGCTTCAACCCCTGTGTGAACACGGGCTGCGGAAAGCCAGCCGTGCGGCCACTGGTGGATACAGGGGCCATGGTCTTCGTGGTCTTTGGCATTATTGGCATCAACCGCACGCGGCAGGTGGACAACCATGTCATCGGAGACCCGGTACGTGGGCCCACTTTGGGCAGATGTCAAAGGGCCGGACCACACCAGATCTGCAAACAAGTACCAGCCCAGATGGCCACTGGTCCAGCTCCCCCCACGCCCTCTTGCTCCTCTGACTGCTCACCAGGCCCAGACAGGACCACCACAGGCCCTCGAGGGCACTGTTTCTCTTGAGGAGCGATCAGGGTTGAGCTCTTAGAATCGCCCAGGAATCTAGGTACATTGTGGGCCTGAGCTGGTTGCCCTTCACCCTGAGGGGCTAGAATGGAGCTAAGGGAGATACAAGCATGTAAACTTTGCCCCCCCACCACCGTCCTCTTTCTGCAGAAGGCCCCTCCCTGCACCCACAGCCCCTGCTGCATGCCTGACTGAGGGGCCCTCCCCTCTGTGTGGGCTCCACCCCCTGTAGGTGCTTGTACCCCGTGCTGGGTTCTTGGGTGTTGGAAGGGAGAGAAGCTGTCAGAGGCATGGCTAGGTCTGTCTGGCATGGAATAGGTGCTGAGCATGTGGTGGGAAGGACCATGGATGTGGTAGGGTCAGAGCTCCTGCCTGGAGAAGTCAGTCTGGCTGGGTATACAGGGTTTCAGACCCGAAGTAGTTCAGGACCCAGGATAGTCAGAGATCTGTGTGATCAGTCCCGACCGCAAGTCCCCCAGGTGTTCAGAGGAGCGGGGGAGGCGGGGAGGACACAAAGCAGTTGAGGGAGGATGGAGATTTGGCTGTGCGGAGCAGGGAGAGACAGCAGGAAGCCCAGGTGAGAGCACGTGAGTGAAAGCAGGGCTGAGCCTAGGGGCCCTGTGCAGGGTGGGCAGTGTTGGGAGCAGAAGGTGCTGCTGGGAGCAGGACAGAGCAGCCTCGGGCATGGACCTCAGGCGACCGTGCAGAGGCTCCAGCCTGATGTCTGTGAGGGTGGCAGGGAGCTGTGGAAGTTCTTCCCCTGGGGCAGGGCTCAGGACTGAGTTCCCAACTCACTGAGCGGCACGCGCCCACTTGTGTCTCCTTGGGAAAGGGCAGTGTCGTCTATGACAGCAGCTTTGATCTCTTCAAAGAAATTGGGCACCTGTGTCACCTCTGCAAGACCATCGCGGGGAACTCAGAGCTGGTGAAGCCGGGCGGGGCCCAGTGCCTGCCCTCAGGTGCGCGGGAGAGCCGTTTGTCAGAGGGAGGACACACCAGGGAGGCCGTGCTGTTGCTCCCAGGGTGGGCAGCCACGAGGACACCCGTGCCTGGCATGAGTCCTGCAGACACGCGTCTGAGCTCGAGTTGGTGTCCACATTGGGGCGAGGGCGTGTGAGTCTTCTAGAGCCGTCTCGTGCGCGAACACGGATTGGTGCAGAGGTGCGCGTGTGTGGGGATGTGTGCAGTGTGTGTGGGCACACCTGCCGGAGTGGCTTTTCCCAACTCGGGAGCCAGGGCCAGGTTGGACGCAGATAAACCCGGGTGAGGTCATGCCAGGGCTCTGCCGAAGGGGCCACAGGGTGTCCTTTTCTACCCCAGTGGCAAAGGACTGTTGGAGGTTACCTAACGGCCCACTGCCACTGGTGGCAGACACGTTTTGAGGCTGGGAGGTTGGGGGAAGGGCTGTGCCCCTGCCACACGCTCACCCAGGGGGTGAGTACACATGCCCAGGTGGGATGGGGGGGAAGGGGTGCTCTCCAGGTCCCCAGCCCGACCACCTGTCTCCCCTTCTCCCTGCAGGCTACGGCACCTCCTCCTTCCTGCAGATGCTGCATCCTGAATGCAAGGAGCTGCCTGAGCCCAACCTGCTCCCTGGGCAGCTATCGCACGGGGCGGTGGGTGTCAAGGAGGGTCGAGTGCAGTGGATCTCCATGGCCTTTGAGTCGGTGAGCTCCCAGCAGCCTCGCCTCACAGTGCTTGGCCAGATCAGAGGGGCGGCTCTTCAGAGAGGGGGATAGTGCAGCCCAGAGGTGAAAGTACTCCCCGCCCCGGGTCACATGGTTATGAGTGTCGACATCAAGTGTTAAACCTGGCATCTGACCGCAGGGGGCTGCCCTTTCCATCATGTAGGCCGTTCCCACCGGCCCAGGGTCTGTGTTGGTTTGTCGCCTCTGGGCTGAGGAGCCACTGGGGCTGGAGGCTGGCGGAAGTCCCGGACGCTCCCCTCTGCCGCTCTGGGGGACCGGGTTCTGGGCCACAGACCCGGGTGCTGGGCCTCCCCCAGGAGAGCTTGGAAGCCAGGGGACCAGCCATCCCCACACCTCACTACTTCCTCTGTCATCCTGACCCTCCCTGGACCCCGCCCAAGGAGGGAGGCCCATGTGCAAGCACGCTCAGACACGCACACACAAGCACACCTGACCTGGGCCTCCGCGGGCCCTGTGGCTGTGACACAGGGCTGTGTGCCGAGCCTGCTGCAGCCGCCCATGTGCTGAGGCCCAGGGTCCAGTCCCAGCTCTGATCCTGGTGTGCGCTGTGGCTCCTTGAGCCAATCATGGCTCCCCGCCGGCCTCAGGTCCCGCCTCTGAAGATCCCTGCCCTCTGCGTGGCAGTCCCGGGAAGCAGCAGGGCCATCACGTAGAGACGTGGGGGACGAAAACCGGTCCTCGTTCTCTGGCCCCTGGACCTGCTTTCCTTCCCACCACCTGCCACTCGCTCCAGAAGCAGCCACCCTGAGTCAGGAGGCCCCAGAGCCCCTTCCAGTCCGCCTCCAAGGGAGCCCCAGGCCAACGTAGACACCACTTCAAAGCCCCGGGCCGGTTTTTTTTCTTTTAGTTGTGGTAAAATATGCATCGTAAAATCGACCGTCTTAGCCATTTTTGAAGCACAGTTCTGGAACACTGAGCGTATTTACATTGTTACGCAACCAGCACCACCATCCACCTCCACAATTCTGTCCCGTGAAGCTCGAACTCCCTCCCGCCCCTCCTCCAGCCCTCGCACCCACTGTTTCACTTCGTATCTCTGGGAACGTGGCTACTCCGGGCCCCCGAGGTAACTGGAATCTACAGCACTGGTCTTTTTGTGTCTGGCTTATTTCATTCAGCATAATGGTCCCCAAATTCACCCATGCTCTGGCCTGTGTCAGAATCCCCTCCCTTTCAAAGGCTGAGGCCCTAGACGGTTTGAGAGAGGACGGAATCCCCTCTCGGGCTCATCCACACCACGGGGTGTCACTTCCAAGCTGACCCCACCAACACTCGGACACACACGTGCACACAGACACGCTGTAAGCTGGTCTGTGCGCAGGGAGAGCAGAAGTGGGCGTGGGAGCATGTGTGTGAAGGTCCCAGAGCAGGGTGAGTGCCTGTGTCCCCCGCTGAGCGGCTCCGAGGAGCTGGGGGCTGGAGACGGGCGGGTTGCTGGGCTGTGACAACAGCTCTGATGGGGAGACACCAAGGCCTGCCAGAGCCCAGCAGAGGCCCGTCTCGGGGCTTCCGGGAAGGTTTCCTGGAGGAGACAAGCCTTGAAGGATGATGGGACCTGGCTGTGCGGGCAGAGGGAACAGTGTGTGCACAGGCTAGGACGCGGAGCATGGGGGCTCCGGGAGCTGCCGCTGGTTCTGTTGGAAAGGGATGGGGTCTTTGGTGGCATCAGAACCTGCTGCCCTTATAAGGCTAACACGTGCACCCAGAGGCCGGTGGGAGGTAACCCTGGACTGGGGCACTGTTCGTGTGCAGGTGGCCAAGGGCCGGCTGTACCTGCCACAGAGCGGACCAGCCGTCACCTGGAAAGAGTGAGTGGGCACTGCCCCCCACCCATCTCAATGGTTCATGTGCCCCACAGACCACGTACAAGGGCAAGTCCTCCTTCCAGACGTACTCGGACTATCTGCGCTGGGAGAGCTTCCTGCAGCAGCAACTGCAGACGTTCCCCGAGGGCTCGGCCCTACGCCGAGGATTCCAGACCTGTGAGCACTGGAAACAGATCTTCATGGAGATCATAGGCAAGCGGCAGCCCAGCCCCTCATCCCTTTAACTCCCCGGGCCTGAAGTGGCGGGTGGTAGCAGGTGACCTGGGGCAGGGAGGGCTCGGCATTGCCTGTCTGAGCTGCAACTTATCCTCTTCTCTGTCCTGGCCAAAAGTCCTGGGGCAACCGTAATGGCCCAGTGGCCAGGAACACCAGTCAGAGGCCAGAGTGTGGGTCTCCTGCTCAGGGGCACCTAGCCCCGTTCTTTGCTCCTTAATTTGGCCACCTAAAGAGTAACAGTGATCACCGTTGTGGCAGCTCTCTGTCATGATGGGCCTTCCCAGGGCCACGCCCTGTGCTGAGGGCCTGACCGTGTTCTTTAAACTCCAGAGGAGGCCTGTGTGGGGTGGGTACTCTTACTGTGTCACAGATGAGGCTCAGGGAGGCTCTGTGGCTTACCCGCAGTGAAACGGACAGTGCCCAACCGTGGGATCCCAGTAACCTCCGAACCGTGGAGGGGCGGTGGGGGCGGGGCACTCCCCAAAACCCAGCTGAGAACCCTCTTCTCTTGCCTTCCAGGGGTGCAGAGTGCACTGTATGGCCTGGCCCTATCCTTGCTCATCTGTGTGGCAGCGGTGGCCGTGTTCACCACCCACGTTCTCCTCCTCCTGCCAGTGCTCCTGAGTATCCTGGGTATGTGGGGGGGGGGGGTGGCAATAGGCATCAGGCCATGGGGCCAAGAGTCGGCAGGGGTCCCTCTGGTGGCCTCAGGTCAGGAGGTTCCTCTCCATCCTTAACTGTCACACATCTTTATTGAAGGTTTCCCAGCCACCCCACCCCCACCCCAGGCAGAAAGACCCTCTGTGATGGTCACTCACAGGACAGTGCCCCACCAGCCTGTGTGCTCCCAGAAGGGACCCGGATGTTGCCGGGTGGTAGCTCCTGGCCCAGTGACATGTTGCTGCACCTATCCCTCCCCCCAGAACCCCTGCTTCTCTCTGGCCCTGGTCCTCCTGGTCCCTCCTGTCACCAGAGGTGGAGGCTCCACTCTAGGATTTGCCCCATCCCCCAGGGGCCCTCTGAGTTCACCCACCACCCCTCCGGGACTGTGTGGGTGAGCCTGGGTCCAAGCTGCCTGCCGGCCGTCCCCTGCCCCCTGCAGGTATCGTCTGCCTTGTGGTGACCATCATGTACTGGAGCGGCTGGGAGATGGGGGCCGTGGAAGCCATCTCCCTGTCCATCCTCGTCGGCTCCTCTGTGGATTACTGCGTCCATCTGGTTGAGGGCTACCTGCTGGCCGGAGAGAACCTGCCCCCCCACCAGGCTGAGGTGAGCACCCTGCCGCCCCCCCAATGCATCTCCTGTCCCCAGTGCAGCTGAGGGGCCCCCAAGGCCAGCTGGACAGCCCCGGTGCCCAGCTCCCAAGCAGACTGTTCTAGGGGCCGAGGTTTTCGCGGCCAATCTCCATGCCCAGGGTATGTAGGTTCGAAGGCAGCCCCGCCAGAGCAGTATTGTGGGCCTTGGGCAGGCCCGTGCCCCAGCCTGCTTCTCTAATGAGCATAAGGGCTCGGACCAGATGATGTCCACGTGCCCTCCCTGCTTCCCTGAGTCCGAGTCTCCTCCAGCCTGGGGAGCAGGGTGGCCCATACTAGTCATGACTCTGAGGCCACCCCCCACACACATCTTTGTGGCTTAGCAACAACATGTTCATATATTCAGTGCCAGGACCAGCTCTGGGTCTTACAAAGTGTTTTGTTTTCTCCTAATTTGGAGTTGTGGTATGGAAATGTTCATCAATACATAAATTAAATCAGTTACGTTTTTAGGGGCTTTTAGCCCAAAGCAAGAGATCCGTTGCCATCAGGGCCATTTCTGAGGACCTACAACGCAAATCAGCAGCAGCCTGGCTGTCCTAGCAACCATTAGGCGCCTGCCTGTGCGCCTTCGGCAGGGAATACGGCCCTCTCCCCACCAAGCCCGGGAAGTAGGTGCTGTCACCAGCCCCATTTATGGGAGCAGAATTGGGGGCGTCCAGGAGCGGACTGGCCCCCAGCAGGGAGGGAGCCCACTGGTGTGTCGGGCCCCTGGCCCCAGCCTTTGCCCTCTCCTCGCACCCAGGACGCCCACTCGCAGCGCCAGTGGCGGACCCTGGAGGCCGTGCGGCACGTGGGCGTGGCCATCGTGTCCAGCGCCCTCACCACGGTCATCGCCACGGTGCCCCTCTTCTTCTGCATCATCGCCCCGTTTGCCAAGTTCGGCAAGATCGTCGCGCTCAACACAGGCGTGTCCATCCTCTACACGCTCACGGTCAGCACGGCCCTGCTCGGCATCATGGCGCCTGGCTCCTTCACCCGGACCAGGACTTCCTTCCTCAAAGCCCTGGGCGCTGTGCTCCTGGCGGGGGCCCTGGGGCTGGCTGCCTGTCTCGTGCTCCTTCGGAGCGGCTATAAGATCCCCCTGCCCACTGGGGCCTCCCTATAGCCCTGGCAATTGGGTCCTGACTGGCGCACCTTTCTGTCCAGTGGGTGTGGGACGAGGCGCTTGTTCTGACCCCAGAGGCATGTTGTTTCCTGGCTCGGCTCTAACTGGTTCTGTCCCCGGGCCTGGGTGGGAAGAGGCGCCCCACCGCTCAGTGTGGGAGCGGACACCCACCTGTGTGACCTGCACTGCCTTTATGACGGCACCCCGCCAGGGCTGGGTGGGAAGCCGGCTGCCACCCCGTTCATCTGGGCTGCCAACAGCTGTGTCAGGCACCCCCTGAGAGCGGAAGAGTCCAGCCCCCCTCCATGCCAGCTCACCACGGGGGTGTCCCTCTCGTACTGCCTCAGTGCTGGCGACAGCTTTCCCATGTGGGTGTTACAGGGCCCCCATTCTACAGCTGTGAAAACAGGCACCAGGAGGCAAACTGATTGACGTGGAGCTGGGGCGGTGGCAGAGCCCAGCTGCCTCCTGAGCCCCGTGCCTCCCTCGGGGAATTTGCAGGAAGAGCACAGTGGGTTCAAGGGCATGGGCCTTGCACCCCCTACCCCTCTCCTCCCCTTACCCCAGCTTTATGGCGGCCAGTGCTGGGTGGTCCTGTGGTCCCTCCCAGGCCTTTTGGTCCTGGCCAGAGAGTACAAGAGACTGGCCTGGGGTTCTGCATGTCCTACCCTGGGCCCCAACACAGCCTTCCTCACTGATCCAAGCCCCCATCTCCCCCACTCGACTCTGGGGGGTGGAACTGGGGGAGGCAGTCCTTGGGTGGGGGGCTGGCTGTGCCTGCAACCAACTCACAGCAGATGGTTCCTATTCGAGTGAAATGACACCGCAGACCGCCGCCATTAACACGAGCATCATAAGCATCACTGGCTCCACCGCGTTCTTCACACTGTAATAACTAAGTGCTTGCAGGCTGCTCGGCCAGAACCTGGCACAAGGGGTGGGGCTGGGCCTGGAAGGAGATGGAGGTGGGTGGAGGGTGCCAGCCTCCCCAGGAACCAAGGTCCCAGAGTGCTCTGCGAGCCCAGGTCGAGGTTGGGGGCCTCAGGTAGCACTGTGGGCGTGAGGTTCAGTAGATGCACCTTCTTTTAAGGGGCTCATCTGGCTTGTCAGTTGGGGCAATATTTTAAAAGATTTTATTCCTTAGAGAGAAAGATGAGTGGGGAGAGGAGCGGAGGGAGAAGCAGGCTCCCTACTGAACAGGGGGCCTGATGTGGGCCTCAATCCCAGGACCCCAGGATCATGACCTGAGCCGAAGGCAGACACTTCACCAACTGAGCCACCCAGGTGCCCCAGTTGGGGTATTTTTGAGCACCTCTGGTGTGCCAGGTACTGTTCTTCCTTGGGGCAGACATTGCCCCCCTGGGCCTTAGGAAGCCAGACACAGACTGAGCTGGAACTGAGCCCTGAGGGTGGGAATGACGTCCAGGGTGACCTCCAGGCTAGCTCACCTGGTCATCTGTAGATATTAACCGAGGGGCTAGGTCTGCAAGGCAGAGGTGCAAAAGTGTCCCCACCTAGTGCATGCCGGGGACCGAGTGGGGACTCAGTACTTGTATGGGGAACAGCAGGCTTTTGGACCCACCATCTATGCTGAAGCCAGACCCTAAGTAATTCATGGTTCTAATTACTGTGCCAGATGTTCTTCTCAGGATTTTTATCCGTCTGCTGGGGCTGCCAGAACAAAATGCCATTAACTTGCAGGGGGTGGTGTGTGTGTGTGTGTGCTTAAACAACAAATTTATTCTCTCAGTTCTGGAGGCTGGAAGTCCAAGCTCAAGGTGTTGCCAGGGTGGTTCCTTCTGGAGGTTCCAAGGGAGAATCTGTTCTAGGCCTTTCTCCTGGCTCCTGCTGATCGCGGGCAGTCCTTGGTGTTCTTGGGCTTGAAGACACATCCCTCCCCATCTCTGCCTCCGTCTTCACATGGCCATCTTTTCTCTATGGTGTTCACATCCTCTGATCCCTACACAAGGACACCGGTGGTATCAGATCAGGGTCTACCTTAAATGGCTCCACTTGATCATCTGCAAAGACCCTGTCTCCAAGTAAGCTCACATTCATAGCTCAGGGTTAGGACTTCACTATATCTCTGGGGGGGGACACATTTCAACCCAGAACCAGCAGGGCTCAACGTTAGCCTTCGGCTCATTTGTTAGCCTTCCAGAGTGCGTGCTATCATACCCATTATACAGATGGGGAAGCCAAGGCTCTAAGAGATTGATTTGGCTAGGTCACACAGCTGGTAACGGAGGAGCCAGATTTTGACCCCAGCCAGTCTGCCCCAACCTTTAAAGGTATACAACCTCGGGCGCCTGGGTGGCTCAGTTGGTTAAGCGACTGCCTTCAGCTCAGGTCATGATCCTGGAGTCCCGGGATCGAGTCCCACATCGGGCTCCCTGCTCAGCAGGGAGTCTGCTTCTCCCTCTGACCCTCCACCCTCTCATGTGCTCTCTCTCTCATTCTCGCTCTCTCAAATAAATAAATAAAATATTTAAAAAAAAAAAAAGGTATACAACCTCTGGGAGAATTGTAACAAAGCCTGACAGATGGGGGCATTCAAGGTTGGTGGTCAAATCAAGAGGCCTGTTCTTAGAAAATCTGAGATGGAAACCCTTGAATGTGTACAATATTTCACCCTTAAGTACTTTCCCCGTCAGCCTTCTGTGAAACCAGAGCCCTCAGAGGCCCAGCAAAGAGCAGTGAGGCTCGGGGGCAGGTTGAGCTTGGGACCACACAGCCCTGAAGGGGCTGCTCAGGGGTTCAGACCGGTGAACCCAGGGCTCCGGCAGCCCTTGTCGGGGGGCCATGATACAGGGTGGCACCCCTTCCCGTGACTGACGCTGTGGGAGGAACGGGCCAGCTTATGGGAGCAGTTCAGGTGGGAGGGGGTGACAGGGAGTCAGGTAGCAAGGTGACAAGGCACCCTAGAAGCACTTAGAGAAATGACTGTCCCGTCCAATAACCTCTCCAAGAACCTAGTTTTAATGGGGAGGCAGAGTCGTTTGCATATCATTTGCATGCAATCAAAATAATGCCCATTTGTAAAGAAACCCTCATTTAGCCCATTTCCTTTTAAGAAACCGCTCCTCTTCATTCCCCTTGACCTCTGCTTTTTTTTTTCAGAGTGTTGGGTGGTGTTGAGCAGGCAGCCAGGCCTTGGTGTCACTGTCACCTCTCCCCAGGTGACTAGGGCTGCCCCGCCCACTACAACTCTGGTACCCCTCATAGGTCTCCAGGGAGCTGGGTTCCCCTCTTAAGATGGGCTCCTGGGGCCCGGAGAGGGGAAGGCGGTTTCGGGCAGTACCAGGCTGCTTCTCCTGGCCCACCCTCTGCGGGCGGCATTCTCGACTTTGGATCTTTACTTCCTCATTAAAACTGACCTGTCCTGGTCCCTCAGGCCCTACGTCTGTCCAGCTGCCAACCAGTAATGCTACCCCTTCCCTGGGGGAAGGATGTGGGTGACTATTTGGGGCCACGCACTCGGCTGTCTACTTGCCTACAAATAAATCCCCCTTTATCTTGTTTGTGAATATTGGCACACAGAGTCCCAGAGGCACTAACTCCCATGAAAAGAACCTTGACCTTCCTTTGCTGCTGATGCACAGCTCACGGTCTTAATGAGCTTTTGCTGAGTGCTAATGAGATGCCCTTCAGTAGCTCGGGCACAGCAGTTAGCCTGGGGTCTGTGAGGAGGTGCAGGTATTCCGCAGGCCAAGGAGGGCCACAGGGCCCAAGGGGATCCCAGGGGAGAGAGACCCCTGTCACCTGCAAAAGTTCCCTGAGCCCCTGCTTCTCTCCCTCCTTCTCTTGGAGGCCAGGAGATATTAACGAGAGCCAGCTGTTTGGGAGCGCCTACTGCATCCTGGGTCCTAGCCATGCATTCTTGGGAATCCTCACAGCATTCCTCAGAAGGGGACGTTTTTGTTTCCGTTTCACTGCTAAGGGAAATTGAAGCTCAGAGACATGAAGTAACTGGTCTGAGCTCACACAGCTTGTGAGACAGAGCCGGGCTTCCCACCCGGGGCTGTTGGCTCCTGAGTCCATGCTCTCTGTCCCCTACAGCCTCTCAGCATGTACCACATTTGACTCCAGGGCCAGCTGATCAGCTTCCCTCAGTTGCTGTGCTCCACCTGCGTGCTAATCTGACAAAAAGGAGCACCCGATCTGGAGTTCGGAGTCCAGTATCCGAGTCTTAGCTCCAGCCCTGCCCCGGGGGTTCCTTGAACAAGCCACTGAACATTGACTTAATCTGGGAAATGGGGCAGGGGACAAAATGACATCCAGAGCTCTGACCCATCCACTGCTATGCTGGCAGGATTTGAGTCCCCCGAAGTCAAGCTGCCCCTGTGCCCACCACCGGTGGCCATCCCCTGTGAGTCTTGTTCTCATCGTTGTTCACATCTCATAAACAGAAGAATGCCCATTGGAGCGGTGCGTTCATTTGTTCAACAACCTACTTAGCACCTACTATGTGCCAGGAACCGTTCCAGGCCTCGGTGATGCAAGGAAATGCAAACACAGACCCAGACCCTGACCTCATGGACCTTACCATTGAGGTGGGACAAAGAACCTTCATAAAAGAACCCCTCAAACATATAACCACAAACCAGAGGGTGGTGAGGGAGAAGAGTGAGGCATAAGGGCACAAAGCCATGAGGCCAGGGCTGGCAGAGGGGTCCCTGGAGAAGGATGAGGACCACTTTCCTCGCCTCGGGGGCGCTGATCCCACCCGACACAGGCCTCTGGAGCCAAAGGACAGCCTACTGCAGGCTGATGTGAAGGCATCAAAGAAAGGATTCATTGGATCTTAGAGGGGATAAGACCAGAGCCCTCTTGGGGCAGCAGACATGGAAAGGGACAACACGATGGCCCAGGAGAGAACATCTGGCTCAGAGTGACACAACCCACCAGGTGAATCAAAAGAGAGCCAAGCAAAACACGTGCAGTAGCCCTGTGCACAGGGCTCTCAGGCCAGCCTCGGTTCCTACAGAGAAAGTTTCTCA